GTGGCCTGGGAAAGCAGTAGAAGATGGCCCAAGTGCTTGGGCCTCTGCACCCACATGGGAGACCCAGAAGAAGCTTCTCACTCCTGGCTTCGGATCGGCGCAGCTCCGGCCGTTGCGGCCATCTGGGGAGTGAACCAGCGGATGGAAGACCTCTCTCTCTCTGTGTCTCTACCTCTCTCTGTAACTCTTTCAAATAAATCTTTAAAAAAAGAAAAAAGGACAATTTAATGCATCGATAGAAATGGTGACTACAACTGATTGAGGCACACAGGATCTATAAAATCTGTGCGTAGGGCCGGCCCTGTGGCGCAGCAGGTTAAGCCGCAGCCTGCAACACCGGCTTCCCCGTGTAGGAGCACCAGCTTCAGTCCCAGGTGCTGATTCCAACGCTGCTCCTTGCTAACGTGCCTGGGAAAGCAGCGGAACATGGCACAAGCACTCGGGCCCCTGCCAACCACACAGGTGACCCAGATGGAGTTCCTGGCTTCCTCCTGGCCCAGCCTGATTGTGGCCACTCAAGGAGTGAACCAGCAGATGGAAGATCATGTGTTCATTACAACTGAAAAGAAAAGTGAGAGAGGCACTATTCACCAAAACCAAAAACAACACTAAAGTCACGGGAAAGGTAAGTTCGGGAGTGGGGAGGGACAGGCATTTTGGTGCAGTGGGTTCAGCAGTGGGGCAAGCTGCCACTTGGAACACCGGAGTATCGAACTCCTGATTCAAAACTGGTTGCTGCGAAGTTTTACCAGGTTCCAGGCCTGTGCTGAGCGCTCCACTTGTCTCCTCTCACTTAATTCCCCAAGAACCCTCCTGGGGGAGGAACTCTTACCAACCCCCTTCTATGGGTGGAGAAACTGGAACCCTGAGAGACAAAGTCACTTATCCAAGGCCACACAGCTGGGACTGGCAGAGCCATGAATACTAAAGTTCCAGAGTCAGACCAGCTGAATTTGCACTTGACCTGAGTGCCGTGGTAGCACCTCCAAGAGGTCTCCTGTGCCTGCCACTCCCCCGTCTAGCCCCGTGTGGGCTCCTCCTCACTGAATGCGGCTGACCTTTGAGATGACCGGGTCACTGTGGGGCTGGCAGGGTGTGACTGCGAAGGCCTGACCATGAGTCACTGCAGCTCTGTGTCTCTCCCCTGGTCACACATGAGGGGAAGTCAGTCGCCCTGCACAAGGATGGTCACACAGCCTTCTGGAAAGTTCCACGTGACAGGGGACAGTGGCCCCTGCCAATGGCCAGTCCTGACATGCCAGGCACTGTGCGTGGACCCCTTGGAAACATGTCTCCCAGCCCCAGCCGAGCCTTCACAGGACCCAGGCCCAACTGCTGTCTTGGCTGCAACTCCCTGAGGCTCTGAGCCAGGACCACCGGGCCCCGTCACCCTAGAAGCTGGCTGCGGAGAGCCGCTAACTTGGGGATCACTCATTACTGGCAGTGCAGGAGTAAAAGGGTAACCAGGGAGCAACGAACAGTTCTCAACACATCTGAGCTTCCGTCACATATAAAACAGAGTGCCGTAGCTGGTAAAGCCACCACCTGCAGTGCCAGCATCCCATATGGGTGCTGGTTCGAGTTCCGGCTGCTCCACTTCTGATCCAGCTCTCTGCTATGGCCTGGGAAAGCAGTGGAAGATGGCCCAGGTCCTTGGGCCCCTGCACCCATGTGGGAGACCTGGAGAAATCTCCTGGCTCCTGGCTTCGGATCAATGCAGCTCCAGCCGTTGTGGTCATTTGGGGAATTAACCAGCAGATGGAAGACATCTCTCTCTCTCTCTCTCTGCCTCTCCTTCTTTGTGTACCTCTGACTTTCAACTAAATAAATAAATCTTTAAAAAAATAAAATAAAACAAAGATAACAACAGCAATGCCTCTTAAGGGTGTCATCAGGATCAAAGGAGAGACATCTAAGTGCCTGGCCTAGTGCCTGCACACAACAATGGGGAAGTGAGATCAGCCCAGACCCCCCAAGCAGTCCCAAGTCCACATCAGCGCCCACCCATTTCCAAACTTGTGCTCAGGCCATGAGCCCTTCGAATCCAGAGCTGAGGTCTGCAGGGCTGGCAGACCAACCAAGGACACAGGCAAGGGTCCACGCGGGCAAGGGCAGTGCCCGCTACTCCGCCACTGGGAGCTGTCTTCCTGGCAGCACCAAGACTCAAAGACCCCCCCGAGGGGGGGCTTTAGAAGCCTTCAAGGCCAAATCTCCAGCACCAGTGCACCCCCGACACACCCTCTCTGCACGCTGATCCCACGATCCGGAGCATTTGTCCAGCGCCATCTCCAAGTCTCCCCGTAACGCCTCACGGCCACTCCTGGCCTTCCAGGTCCCCACAGCAGGAGTCAGTCCCTGCAGGGCCTCCCTTTTTGACCTCAGTACCCCAAGCTCCCCATTAACAGGCAGAGTTGGCAAACTGCATGTTGGCAGCTTCCTAGGGGGCAGACAGACAAAGCACAGACCTGGAGCAGATTGGGAAAAAGACCAACTGGGAGAAGCTGCCATCCAGGGAAACCCCCAAAGTCCAAATCTCCATATCTAAATCCAGCCACAGCAGCACCCCAACTGGGAAGGATCTTAAAGGCCTCGGAAGGGCTTATGAAGTTTATTTCCCCTGGTGTGACAGCTACAGGGCAGTGCAGGAGGTGGGGACCACGTCTCTACAAGGTCAGTACCCCCTGACCTTGAAACAGTGGTTGAGCACTTGGGCTCTGGGCTCAGACTCGGTTCAAGTCCTGGCTATGTGATCTATGGCCAATATTGTTCCGATTATGTGGAACCACTTGAGAGCAACCTTAGTCACCAGCCAAGGACACGTGTTCACGGAACGAGTACATCACAGAGCAAAGCGCCATCATTACTCTTAGAACCATCAGCTCTGTGCACCACTAGGGAGCTGTCCAAAAACTGACGCCTCAGCCCCCTCGACCACAATCTCTCGGCCCAGACATCTGTAGGTTTTCACAGATACTCCTCAGCTATTCAGATGCACAAACAGGGTTGACAGGCACCGGTGCACACGTCTCATGAACTGGGGAGCCCGGCCCCTCACATGCTCTCGGGCACTGGCCACCAGGCAAGTCCCGCCTACATCAAAGGTCCAGTCACGCATTATCCGTGCCCTCCAGCGCTGGGGTGGGCCAGCCACAACATGGCAGGCACCCCCCAAGAGGAGAACTTCCAGTGTTTGGCCTGCCAACAGTAACAAGAGTGAAGAGGCTGGGGCATCCTTTTCATCTGGATTTGACAAGGAGGGACAAGCTCTTCCATGTCCAGCTAACACTACGGATCTGAGACGTTCAAGCAGCTGGCCTCGAGTCCTGCCTCGGCACCAGGATCACCTGGTAAACCCGGAGCAAACAGGGCTGGTTGGGTTCCAGAGACTCTGATTCTGTGGTCTAGGGTGGGGCCTGGACACCTGCGTGTGTCAAAGGCTGCCCAGGTGACATTGAGGAACAGCCACGACTGTACCTTACAAAACGCCTCCACTCCAGCACTTGTCCGTTTGTCACAGCTTGAAGCACAGTATGTCCTGATGAAGTCCCTGCCGAGCCGTGCGCCCTGGGAGGCAGCGTGGCCCACCGGGCTGTGCCTCTTCAGAGGAGGAACCCCCCACCCCCTGAGCCTCCCTCCCCCATGAGTCTGGGGAGTGGCGCCAGCCTCCTGGGCACACAGGGGCTCCGGGCTCGTGCAGGCTGGGTTGCCTTCCCTGACATTCAGGATGGAGAACAAAGCCCAGAATTCACACGCGCTCCAATCAGAGAACAGCGTGAGGGCAGCCTGGGCTGGGAACCAAGGCAGCCACGCACAACCACACCCCCGAGAGGCAGCAGACTGCTGTTGTCGATGAGAAAGCATGAACCACGGCACGACACAACACAACGGAGGGCGATGACGGGATGGCGCCCAATTCAACGCAGTGAACTCAATTCTGCTCCCCAGACCCCAGGAACACAATACACGACACAAATCTCTGCCGTGTCTTCCCGTAAATGCTGAGTGCAGCGCAGGGCAGGCCTCCTCCGGGTTCGCTCGGGAGGCCTGGAGATCCTGGCCCTGTTTGATCCAGGTCTGCCAGCCCTCTTGATGTCTACATGGTCACCAGGTTGCAACAGATGCTTTCTGGCATCGTCTCCCCAAAGCACATCCCTGCCCCCCTCTTGTCTGGGACAGCACCTCGCCCACGAGCCTGGGTCCCCAGTTCCGCTTGATGCATACTCTCAGCCAGTTCTGGACGCACGAGGAGCTGGGCTGGACTGGGCGTGGGACAGTGGCTTCAATGGGGGTCATATAAAGTGGGCCCTATGGGGAGGCCAGGCTGGGCCACATCTGAGGACAGGAAGGCAGGCAGGAGGGAAGGCAAAGGCCAGAAGCAGGGTGCCCACATCCCGGGCGGCTGCCAGGCTGCCAAACCCCGTGCCCATGGAGTCTGCAGAGAGGCCCTGCGCTGCCCTCTCGGCCCCTGCGACGTGGATTTCTGCCACTTGCTAACAGAGACAGAAACCGGGGCAAAATGACTAACGCTCAATGTCTGCCGCCAAACACTTCCAGGAATTTTCTTCTTAAACACAAAAATTAACTTTTTCCTTTTATTGAATATGCCACCTCTCAAATGCACATATGCTTTTCATGTAAATATGTATGCTTTTGGCTGTGGCAACTGGTTTCAAAACCAGAAACAAGGCTGCCACCCGATCTCGCGAATCTGCAAAACGACAGCTCTCCGGAAAGCGATCCTGCACGGGCCCTTCCGCGCAGGGGGAGGGATCAGTGTGCCCAGGCCTGAGTCTCCAGCATGGAGGCCCCTGGGCCCCAGCTGCTCTGCCCTGCCGTGTGGCCAGACAGGCAGCATTCCTGCAGCACCTGAAAGCCTGGCTCAAGGGGGCAGGGGGAGGTTAGACAGGTAACACGCGGCTATCGCGGATTCAGGAGAGAAACCGAGTCCCTGTCTGCCGGTCACGGCCGCAGTAGCCGAGCGTGAAGGACGCAGTACAGACCTCCGGCTGGATGGCTTTAAACACGGGGATGTCCATCAGCGTGATCTGGCTCTGCAACAGAAGGGAGGCGGCGTTAGACACGCGAGCGTGGACGGGGTCCGCACAGAGAAACACACACTCACGGGAGGTTACACTCGCCCCTGCCACAACATTCGAGGTGCCCAAGAGCGGGCACCACGGGGTCAGTTTCTAAAACGCCCCTCCCATCCCTCCTGTCCTCGTAAGTCTTGATCCACACCCTTCCTCCTCGAACGTGGGGTGCTCTCGACTCCAGAGCTGCCGACAGCTGCTTGGAGGGTGAGGCTGGGAATAAGAAGAATGTTTAAATTTTGGACATTTTATATGTTTAGTCCTTTATACCAGCTTTAAAAGTTGCAGGGGAATATTAAACACTAGAATGCTAAACAGAGACACTATCTACTACCCTAAATTTAAATATCTTTTAAAACTGTGGTTTCTAGAAATTACACTTTTCTTCTGAAGCTTCTGCCTCCCCTAAATTATACGGCAGAGCACTGTGAGAGGCATCCACGGGCCATTCTGACCTCCGACTGTTTACTCCCCCAGCCCACGAGGGGATCCAGAAGCTGAGAGCAAGCACTTGAGGCTTTGACAGCAGTGTGACATGGCCTTGGCCTTGCGTTTTCTTAAAGTACAGATTGGAAACCAAAGGGGGGAAAAAGGTTCTTCCTGCAGCCAGCTGAAGAGACACTAAAGTCACCTGTGGAGAAAACGCCCCCCCAACCCGGTGACCACGAGGGAAGACACACTAAGCTCACTTCCCAGAGCCCATCCACCCCAGATGTCAGCCCACAGAAGCTATGGGACAGGCCAGGGTGGCAGCAGGGAGCCTGGGAGCCTGTAAGGGCAAGAGGACAGCCGTCCACTGAACGCACAGTCAACCGTGACAACCTGATGTGGTGCAGTGAACGGCAGGGGCTGTGAGTGTGTCTGGACACTGTCACGCCACAACAATGTTCTCTTTGATGCGACTTACCCTTCCCCAGTCTCAGTGCCGCATCAAGAGAAGGGTGACAATAACCCGATCTTAGAAATTCTCAGTAAAAATTCAAGACAAGAGGTGGAGAACGCCTGACGCCTGACAGAGGCTTGGTAACTATGCAGATGTCTGTGTGTCTGTGTGTCCGTGTGTGCCTGTGTCTATGTATGCATGTGCATCTGTGTGTCTGTGTGTCCATGTGTGTGTCTGTGTCTATGCATGTGCATCTGTGTGTCTGTGTGTCCGTGTGTGTCTATGTATGCATGTGCATCTGTGTGTCTGTGTGTCCATGTGTGTCTATGTATGCATGTGCATCTGTGTGTCTGTGTGTCCATGTGTGTCTGTGTCTATGCATGTGCATCTGTGTGTCTGTGTGTCCGTGTGTGTCTGTGTCTATGTATGCATGTGCATCTGTGTGTCTGTGTGTCCGTGTGTGTCTGTGTCTATGCATGTGCATCTGTGTGTCTGTGTGTCCGTGTGTGTCTATGTATGCATGTGCATCTGTGTGTCTGTGTGTCCATGTGTGTGTCTGTGTCTATGCATGTGCATCTGTGTGTCTGTATGTCCGTGTGTGTCTGTGTCTATGTATGCATGTGCATCTGTGTGTCTGTGTGTCCGTGTCTATGTATGCATGTGCATCTGTGTGTCCGTGTGTGTCTGTGTCTATGTATGCATGTGCATCTGTGTGTCCGTGTGTGTCTGTGTCTATGTATGCATGTGCATCTGTGTGTCCGTGTGTGTCTGTGTCTATGTATGCATGTGCATCTGTGTGTCTGTGTGTCCGTGTGTGTCTATGTATGCATGTGCATCTGTGTGTCTGTGTGTCCATGTGTGTGTCTGTGTCTATGCATGTGCATCTGTGTGTCTGTGTGTCCGTGTGTGTCTGTGTCTATGTATGCATGTGCATCTGTGTGTCTGTGTGTCCATGTGTGTCTGTGTCTATGTATGTATGTGCATCTGTGTGTCTGTGTGTCCGTGTGTGTCTGTGTCTATGTATGTATGTGCATCTGTGTGTCTGTGTGTCCGTGTGTGTCTGTGTCTATGTATGTATGTGCATCTGTGTGTCTGTGTGTCCATGTGTGTGTGTGTCTATGTATGTGCATCTGTTTGTGTCCGTGTGTGTGTGTCTATGTATGCATGTGCATCTGTGTGTCTGTGTGTCCGTGTGTGCCTGTGTCTATGTATGCAGATGTCTGTGTGTCTGTGTGTCCGTGTGTGTCTGTGTCCATGTATGTGCGTCTCTGTGTCTGTGTGTCCGTGTGTGTCTGTGTCTATGTATGCAGATGTCTGTGTGTCTGTGTGTCCATGTGTGTCTGTGTCTATGCATGTGCATCTGTGTGTCTGTGTGTCCGTGTGTGTCTGTGTCTATGTATGTGCGTCTGTGTGTCTGTGGTGCGACCAAAGGGCAGTCCCGTGGATGGCACGTGTACAGGTGGGTGAAGCTCCGGCCGCTGACCCGCACACGAGCTAGGACGTAAGGGACCATGGCTTCAGCTGAATCCAGGAACTCAAGCTGCCGCTGCCCTAGAGGAGACTAGAGGAGGCTGTTACACCGAGCCAGCAAAGCCCTCCTGTCAGGAATGCACTGGAGAACAGCGACAATTCACATGTGCATCACCTGTAACCTCAGCCAGGGCTTAGACGCAGAGCAGCGGTCGGCTCGTGGTAAATTCAAGGGCTACAGAGAACAGTCCAGCATCCGCTCAGCAGAGAGGAAGGGCGAGGTGAGCAGGTGGCTTCGAGGGACAGCCTCTTGTGCACTTTCTCAGGGCCCGGCACCCCTCACTGCACAGGGGACAGACGCCGCCACTGCTGGAGTGAGGGAGCCCGTGCGGGGAATTCGAGCTTTCCCACCTCTGGGTCAAGGGGGCACCTGACATGGGCAGGACGTGGATCTGCCCTCATCACCTGGGCGTCCAGAGGCCAGGACACCCTCAAGTCCCAAAGGCCTGTGAATGCCCGGTTCTCCACCCGGGGCAGTGCACACAGATGAGCGTTTCTTCCGCCAGGCCCATCGGGACTGCTAGCCAAGTGCCCCTCGTACTGGGTTACTTCTGTCAGGCCGGGGAACGGGAAGGCCTTGTGAAAACAGGAGATCTGAGTGCTGAGGGCCTGGGGAGTCCCTCCTGCAGCTCCAGTTACCTCCCTATCCGGAAGAAGGGCAGGATGTGTGCCGTGTCATCTAGGGAGAGAACCAAGCGGCTGCTCACGTGAAAATGAGAAAACTTCCTTCCCACCCTGCCATCGGCTCCGGGGTTTGCTACCGAAGTTGCAAGTGATTTATTAAAACTGGGCCCTTACATTTTGTAGGTTTTGGCTGGTCCAACTTTCAAATATTCCCTAAGTCGGAAAATGTGTCCCGGTGTCTTATTCAAAACAAACAACAGAGGTCATTAGCCTTGAAACAGGCCGGCCCTGACACAGTGAAGGTTCTCAGAAGACTCTCTCCCACTCCTAGCCTCACAACTCCGGCCAAGAAAAGGTAGAACGTGTGGAGCGAGGCTCCAGGGACGCAAGATACTCAGGCAGAAATCCTCAGACTGAGTCACACCCTGAGCAACCCCTCCCAGGTTGGACAGGTCATGCCACACTCCACAGCCAGCTCTGGGGACCACTCGGCAACAATGCCCCTGGCTTCAGCTGTGTTAAAGCCTTGGCAGAAATGAGACTGCAAGTTCCATGTTTGTCCCCAGGAAGCAGACTCACCCAGCAGTGGGGCCCAACAAGTCTCCAACGGCATGGGAAATACGGCCTCAGATCAGATGCCCAGTTAGGCTGGTCTGAGTCCTCGCTCCTTGCCCTCCTAGGCTGGGGATCCCCATGACCCCAGCTTTTGGTGATCACACATTACACCTCATTTTCTGTAGGGATGAACCCTACAGACTGGAGAGACCTATGGGAGGAGCACCTCACAGTGTAGCCCTGAAGTGCTGTGTGGACACACAGGAACCTCTTGGTTGGCCAAAAAGAAAACGACATGTTTTCTGCAGGCGCTGAACACAGTATTTCCCCTTAGCAACAAAATCCTCCCTGCACAGCCACAGACTCCACACGGGCAAGCCAGTGCTGTGTGCGCCAACAGATGCCTTGAAGTGTGTACCTCGATCACTCCTGCAGGCATGACCAGGACTCATGGGGCAAAAAGCAACCAGCTCCAAAGAGCTACTCCTAAGACAAACTCCCGAGCCATGGGGAAGCACTGGGCTGGCCACGTACAGCATCACAGGCAGAATCTTAGCAACAAGAAGTCACCACCGTCAGCCGTCACCCCCTGGGGACCTGTAACTGCACTCTTGGGACGCATTCTACCAATAACTCGTTGAAAAGTGTAACTGTTTGTTTTTTAAAAACATCAAACCTATTTTTTAAAAAAAGTTGCAAAAGTAGTACAATGGACTCTCCTGAGCCTTTACCAAGCCCCAGTGGCAACGTGTCAGCCCGTGTTGGCTGCTATCACCATGCACGTAATTACACACGTGCATTTTTTTCTGGGCCAATGAGAGTAAAATATAGATTTCACACTTCCTCATCTGAAATACCTCAGGATGTATCAAGAACAAGATCATTCTCTCACACAGTGATAAATGTATGGCATGCAGCAGTATGGTCTATACACAATCTACGTTCAAAAGTTGCTAATTATCCCAATACTGTCTTTTCAGGAAATGTTTCTGAATCCTGGCTCATGTGTTTGGACATGACCCCCTTAAGAGCACAACGCGCATTTTACTGACACAGTGGTCCTGACAAAGGCAGAGAGTGTAAGGAGACTGTACACACAGCTCTACAGGCTCAAACGCAGACACGGGGACAGACATGGACACAGACGTTCACTGCATCGCTGTCTGCAGTACCAAAAATCTGGAGACAACCTAAAAGGCCATCAAGGGGGAATTGCTGAAAAAAGTTATGGCACGTCCAGACACCGGGATGTTACGCAGCTATTAGAAATGGTGAATGCCATCCACACACGGAGCTAGAAGGAGGTCATGACCGGCAGAGGGTCAGGACAGTTCCTGCACCTGGGGAGAAGCTCTGAGGTGACCTGTATGGCACCCCCTGGGGAGAGCAGAGGAGGACCTCTGCAACGGCTCCCCCGTGACTGTAACATGACGCACGGCGACAGAAAGCCGCAGAGAGCACACTCAGTTTGCAGCCCCCACCAGGGCAAGAAAGAGCTGCCCCAGCTGCTGGCTGAGTGCACAGACAAGCCACAGATGCCGAGAGCTGGTCTCAAGAAGAAAGGCACGTGACCCCCATGTGAGGTGTCCAGGCACAGACACACGTGACCCCATCATGTGAGGTGTCCAGACACAGACACACACACGTGACCCCCCAGGTGAGGTGTCCAGGCACAGACACACATGACCCCATCATGTGAGGTGTCCAGACACAGACACACACACGTGACCCCATGTGAGATGTCCAGGCACAGACACACGTGGCCCCCATGTGAGGTGTCAAGACACAGACACACACATGTGACCCCCATGTGAGGTGTCCAGGCACAGAAACATGTGACCCCCCCACATGAGGTGTCCAGGCACAGACACATGTGACCCCACCCATGTGAGGTGTCAGACACACGTGACCCCATGTGAGGTGTCCAGGCACAGACACACACATTTGACCCCCATGTGAGGTGTCCAGGCACAGACACACATGACCCCCCATGTGAAGTGTCCAGGCAGACACATGTGACCCTCCCACATGAGGTGTCCAGGCACAAACACATGTGACCCCATGTGAGGTGTCCAGGCACAGACACACGTGACCCCATGTGAGGTGTCCAGGCACAGACACATGTGACCCCATGTGAGGTGTCCAGGCACAGACACATGTGACCCCCCCACATGAGGTGTCCAGGCAGACACATGTGACCCCATGTGAGGTTTCCAGGCACAGACACACACATGTGACCCTCATGTGAGGTGTCCAGGCACAGACACACACATGTGACCCCATGTGAGGTTTCCAGGCACAGACACACACATGTGACCCTCATGTGAGGTGTCCAGACAGGTAAAATGCACAAAGATAAAAAGGAGCAGGGTAGGGGCTGGGAAGAGGGTGTGGGGATTGTGTAACGGACAGAGTTTCAGTTTAGCAAAAAAACATGACTGATCTAACACTTAAAAATGGTAATATGGAAGATTTTATGTTCTGTATCTTCTGTAATTAAACAATAAAAGACAGGTCTAGCAGTTAAGACCCTCATACCCTATATCAGCACACCTGGTTCAAGTCCCAGTTCTATTCCTGACGCCAGCTTCCTGCTAATGGACACCTGGGAGGCAGCAGGTGATGGCTCAAGTAATTGGGTCCCTGCCACCCACATGGAAGACCTGGATTAGGTTCCCAACTCCCAGCTTTGGCCTGGTCCAACCCTGGCCTTTGTGAGCCTTTGGGGAGTGAATCAGGAGGTGGAATTTGTGTGTATGTGTATGTATGTGTGTTTGTGTATGTGTATGTGTGTGTGTCTACTTCTCAAATAAATAAAAATTTTAAAAACAAAACACGGCTGGCATTAGGGCTAAGCCACCACTTGCAACACCAGTACCCCACATCAAAGTGCAGGTCCTATCCCAGCTACTCTGCTTCTAATCCAGCTTCCTGTTAATGTGCCTGGGAAGGCAGCAGTGATGGTCAAGTGCTCGGGTCCCTGCCATCCATGTGGGAGACCAGCATGCAGTTCCTGGCTCCTGACTTTGGCCTGGTCCAGACCTGGCTGCTGCAGCCACTGGGGAGTAACTAATAGATAGACATGTTCTCGCTCGCTCTCTCTCTGCCTTTCAAATAAATAATTAAAAATATATATATGGGGATGGCATTGTGGTTTAGTGGGTAAAGCCATCACCTGCGATGCCAACATCCCATATGGGTGCCAGTTCATGTCCTGCCACTCCATTTCTGATCCAGCTTCCTGCTAATGTGCCTGGGAAAGCAGTGGAGGAAGGTCCAAGTGCTTGGGCCCCTGCACCCACATGGGAGACCTTGAAGAAGCTCCTGGTTCCTGGCTCCTGGCTTTGGCCTGACCCCACCCTGGCCATTGCAGCCATTTAGGGACCAGGAAGCAGTTCCTGGCTCCTGACTTTGGCCTGGTCCAGACCTGGTTGCTGTGGCCATTGGGGAGTAACCAATAGATAGAAATGTTCTCTCTCTCTCTCTCTCACTGCCTCTCCTCTCTCTGTGTAACTCTTTCAAATAAACAAATAAATCTTAAAAAAAAAAAAAAAAAAAGAATCCAGGCCGTCTGGCCACACGGTTCCCCACACTCATGCAGCTCTGCCCTGAGCACTTCCTGTAGTCAGCAGCCGGACAGAGAGGCTCTGGCCAGACTAGAGGTGGTGCAGGTGTCTCATGAGGGGGCACACAAGGCCTCCCATCGATGAGGCTGGCGACCACGGATGCTCACTGCTCAGATCTGTTCAGTACAGTGCTAGCATCTCCTTTCCGTGTGTCAGCTCAGCTAATTCAGGAAAAGACGCTCTCCTCCATCTACCTGGTTTACCCAGGGGTAGGCCAAAAAGCGGCAGGTGGGACACACGCTTCCTTCCTCGCACTGTCCAGTTGCGGGTGACCCACTGTCAGATGGGTTTCAGTCCGCTGTAATTACTGTCCTTCTGAAGCTCGAAGTGTCCGGTCTGTTCCACCTGGCGCCGGTCCCGCTGCCGCTGACGGCTTCCTCACAGGACTGGGAAATCAGACCAGGCTCGGGGGGAGTGCTTCCTGTCCCAACTTCCTTCCTCCCGGAGAGACGGCACTTCAGGACCACAGTCTGGAATTCACACCGGTATTTCCAGCTCAAATTCAGGGCGCCTTTCACCCCACTTACTTCCTTACCCTCTTCTGTACCCTCTCTGCATCTCCTTCTATATCTTTTTTCTTTTAAGCTTCATTTATTTATTCGAAAGTCAGAGTTACACAGAGAGAGAAGGAGAGGCACAGAGAAAGAGAGAGAGAGAGAGAGAGAGAGAGAGAAAGAGGTCTTCCATCCGCTGGTTCACTCCCCCCAGTTGGCCACAACAGCCGGAGCTGAGCCGATCCGAAGCCAGGAGTCAAGAGTTTCTTCCAGGTCTCCCATGCGGGTGCAGGGGCGCAAGGACTTGGGCCATCTTCTACTGCTTTCCCAGGCCACAGCAGAGAGCTGGATCAGAAGTGGAGTAGCCGGGACTCGAACCGGGCCCATATGGGATGCTGGCACTGCAGGCGGCAGCTTTACCCACTACGCCACAGCGCTGGCCCCCTTTCTTCTAGATCAAAAATCCAGGCTCTGGTACCCCAAGAACGCTAGGTTATCATCTCCCATCATTACTTAACATGTCCCACACCACACATGCCGGTCTCAGGATAAAATTGTGCTACCTGAGGTTACAGGTTACAGATGGGCAAGGTTACTCTTGCCCATCCTTTTGAAACAGGGCACAGTTCTGACTACATCAATTCTCACATAAACCACACCTCTCCGTGCCACCCTCACTCAGCCCATCACACCAGCGGCTGCAGCTTCATCGGTCTGCCCGTTCCTAAGTCTGGTCATTTTCACTGTCCTCAGGAGGCGCTCAGGGCAGTAACACCCTCTGGGGTCCTGCAGGTCCCTGACAGCGTGTCTGTGTCCTTTCTCTTTAGAGTCAGTTTCCCTGCGTGGCAAATCCTTAGTCCGCATCTTTTTCTTTCCTTGATCTAATTTATGATGTTATTCCATTTCCCTTGGCAAAACAAACCAAAAAAAAAAAAAAAAGTGTCAAATCTTCTCTGTCCAAAAGATTGCCAGTAATCTACTTTGCTTTTCTTTTAAGTCATTCACCATTTTTGCCTAGGATTGCAACAGATTTTTTTCTTTTTTTTTTTTTCTTTTTTTTTTTTTTTTTTTTTTTTTTTTTTTTTGACAGGCAGAGTGGACAGTGAGAGAGAGAGACAGAGAGAAAGGTCTTCCTTTTGCCGTTGCTTCACCCTCCAATGGCCGCCGCGGCCGGCGCACCGCGCTGATCCGATGGCAAGAGCCAGGAGCCAGGTGCTTCTCCTGGTCTCCCATGGGGTGCAGGGCCCAAGCACCTGGGCCATCCTCCACTGCACTCCCTGGCCACAGCAGAGAGCTGGCCTGGAAGAGGCGCAACCGGGACAGAATCCGGAGCCCCGACTGGGACTAGAACCCGGTGTGCCGGCGCCGCTAGGCGGAGGATTAGCCTAGTGAGCCGCGGCGCCGGCCTTCTTCTTTTCTTTTAAAATCCACTGGTTTACCAAGAACACACATGGGCTGACAACCTTAGCTTCATCATGTACATTCTCAAGATGTAGTTTGAAAGATTTTATTTCATGACCATTTTCTTAGTTTTGATCAAGTCCCTTGTTTTCTTATCCCCCCTTTCAGATTCTTATTATCTGTGTATTGAATCTTCTGCGTCTATCGTAACTATCTGTCACTTTTCCCCCAAAATCTTATTATCGCTTCATTTATTTTATTTTTATTTGAAAGAAAGAGGAGAGAACCAGGGAGAGATTACCCATCTGCTGATTCATTCCCCAAATGCCCACAATAGCTGGGGCTGGGCCAGGCCAAAGCCAGGAGTCCAGACCTCAATCCAGGTCTCCCATGTGGGTGGAAGGCACCCCAGTTACTTGAGCCACCACCTGCTGCCTCCCTGGGTGTGCATTTAGCAGGAAGCTGGAACTGGAAGATCTGGGACTTGAACCCAAGCACCCCAATATGAGATGCAGGTATCCCAAGCATCACCGTGGCTGCTGCACCCAACATCCCGCCCTGCACTGTTACTTTGATATGAAAAGTTTCCTCCCTTAAGGCATTTTGTCATGTCAACTTGTTCCTGGGTTCCTTCTAGATCAGTCCCCATTTCCAGAAGCATTTTTCTTGCACTTTCTGTTACCTCATTAGGAGACTTTTCTGCTACCAGCAGATGCTGCTCACGTCTCACAGCACGGTCTGAAGGTCTCCTTGTTCATTTAAAACCGGACAGCACAGTCTTCATCGGTTTGGGGCATGACTTTCTGCCACGCTTTCATTGTCTATTAAGGATGATCTCCCCTTTCCTTAGACTAACTTACAGTGGGATCTGGGGCGCTAATCTCCTCTCGCCTACTCTTACGTAAAGTTAACTTCCCAAGCCTTCGTCAGAGGGAGCGTGGCGCAGCCTTCTCTAGCCCTACACTGACTCCACGCAGCGGTCAAGACACCGAGCGGCTGCTGAGAGTTCGCGCGCGCGTGCACACACACAGTCTCTTTCCTCTGCCTTTCTCTTAGGTCTGGGGTCTTGTCCTAGAAGGGAGCCCTGGCTGGTTGATTTCAAGGGATCACAGCAACCACACGCCCAGCACAGCATCTGCGAACACAGTAGCCTATCTTTTGCCCACGCTCTCCCGGTTTCTGCTGCTGGTCCCACACTGAGCCCCTGGTCTTTGCTGTAGAACCTGTGGACCCGTGCTGGGTCCTCCTGCGCTCACGTCCATCAAACACCCCAGTGCTCATTCTGCTTCCCCCTGTGGATGCGGACGCCCTGGCGGTCCTGTGGGAGGCGCTGGTGAGTCCTCAGATACCTGTACTTTGGGGCAGGTGAGGATAACCTGTCCCCTAGCTTTTTGGTTTTTTTTTTTTTTTAACATTTTATTTCTTTGAAAAACAGAGTTACAGTATAGAGAGAAGTAGAGACAGAGAGGTCTTCCACCAGCTGGTTCACTCCCCAAATGGCCACAATGGCTGGAGCTGAGCTGATCCAAAGCCAGGATCCAGGAGCTTCTTCCAGGTCTCCCACGTGGGTACAGGGGCCCAAGCACTTGGGCCATCCTCCACTGCTTTCCCAGGCACATTAGCAGGGAGCTGGATCACAAGTGAAGCAGCTGGGACTCGAACCAGTGCCCATATGGGATGCTGGTGCTGAAGGCCAGGGCTTTAATCCACTGCACCACAGTGCCCACCCCATCCTCTTGTTTGTTTTTTAGGGTTTATTGATCCATTTGAAAGGCAGAGTTAGAGACAAGAGGCACAGAGAGACACAGAAAGATCTTCCATCTGCTTGTTTACTCCTCAAACGGCCACAACAGCCAGGCTTGGGCCAGGACAAAACCAGGAGCCAGGAGCTTCACCCTGGGTCTCCCATGTGGCGGCAGGGGCCCAATCACTTGAGCCATTTTCTATCGCTTTCCCAAGCACATTAGCAGGAAACTGGATCAGACGTACACCAGGCAGGACTCGAATCGGTGCCCATGTGGGATGCCAGCACTGCAGGTGGTAGCTTAACCCACTGCACCACCACAACGGCCCCGTCATCCAGTTTCACCATAAACGTTGTTCATGGGTTTCAGGGTTTGCTCTCTGGTTGTTGTAAATGTGGGGGAATTCAGAGAGAATGAAATCCTGTCTTCCCAGAATCTCAGAAATGGTTTTTAATGGACATTCACATCTAGGTTTTGTCCTTTCTCCTATTATCGGACAGGAAACCAGAATGCCAGGGGTCTGGTTCAGCGTGTCCCCAGAGACCAGAGACTGCTCAGGGCCTACTTTCACAGGAAAGGCTCTGGTGGGCCCAAAGCTAGCATCCACCACTGTTCCCTGAGGCCTCCCTCACCTCAGAAAACCCGTCTGGGCCAGGCCAAGGGATGCCCTAGGCTTGAGACGAGACCACCAGGCCCAGCATGTCACCCAGGGGTCGTGTGGATGATGCGGCCTGAGTCTCTGACATCCTCCGTGGCAAACAGCTGGGGAGGGATTCTGAAGGTTTGTCGTTGCTTCGTTTCTTTCCTGAAGCACAAATGCTGAGAACACGAGTGAACACACACAAACAGAACACCGGCGTCAGAGCTGGCCTGCAGGCTCCCGGTGCCTCCCACAGCAGAGGTGTCTGGTGGGCTTTGTGGCTGGGGGCACAGAGGCTGGCCCTGCGCTGCTCAGTCCAGTGGCTGCGAGCCACAGGGGGCCACTGAGCCTCTGAAGCGTGGCCAGCAGTACACGCAGAAAACACACATTGGATTTTGAAGACTCAGTTTGAAAAGGATGAAGAGGAAGTACCCAATACTTGTCTGTGGCTTCCATGTTGAAATGGCATGATTTTGGACATTATGGACTTGAAATGCACTATGAAAAGGAATTCCACCTCTTTCATTTTTTAAAACACGGCTCCTGGAAAGGTTAACACTGCCCACACGGCTCGGACTGTATTTCCATTGGGTAGCGCTGGTCCAGCGACAGTGTCGGGCGGCTGTGCCACTTGACGCCTCTGTGAAGTGGATCTTCTTCTCTCGTGGCTGACTTGCTCGTCAGCTGGTGAGAAGCAGGCACGCACCTGCTCGAGTGGTGAAAGTCCATCAGACATGACATTCAGCACCCAGGAGGCGCTGGGTGATGACAGCTGCTCTTCTCCCCGCCTCCCCGCATCAGGGGGACAATCAGAAGAGGCATTCACACCTGCTCCTGCTAATACCTGGCCAGAGGAGCCACGGGAGAAAGCTCTTGGGTCCTTGTTTCTTACTAGGACCTCCGGAGCTAATGACACGCCTTATTTAACTGCAAGGATTCAATTCTTTTAGACCACGTGGAGTTGCTGAGCACATACTAGGAGCCAGGCATATTCTGGGCACTGGGAGAAAGCGATCAACAAATCAGATAAAGTTCCTACTATCTTAGGGAGCTTATGCTCCAGTGCAGGAAATGCATAATAAAAAGTTAGTACTGGGCAGCAGGTGTTAAGTTGTTGCTTGGAATGCCTGCATCCCATATCAGAGTGCCTGGTTCAAGTCCTGACGATTCCACACTTCCAATCCAGCTTCCTGCTAATGCACGTGGGAGGCAGAGGAAGATGGCCCAAGTGCCTGGGTTCCTGACACCTGTGAGGGAGACCTGGCTGGAGTTCTGGCCTCCTGGCTTCAGCCTGGCCCAGCCCCAGCTATTGCAGGTATTTGGGGAGTGAACCAGCAGATGGAAGACACCTCTCTCTCTGTCTCTGTCTCTGTCTCTCTCTCTTCCTCTGTGTGTGTGTGTGTGTATGTGTGTGTGTGTCTTCCTCTGTCACTCTGCCTTTCAGATAATTAACTCTTTAAAACTTAACATTAAAATAGCTTTCCTTGGCTGGCGCCGTGACTCACTAGGCTAATCCTCCACCTGTGGCACCGGCACACCGGGTTCTAGTCCTGGTCGGGGCGCCGGATTCTGTCCCGGTTGCCCCTCTTCTAGGCCAGCTCTCTGCTGTGGCCTGGGAGTGCAGTGGAGGATGGCCCAGGTCCTTGGGCCCTGCACCCCACGGGAGACCAGGAGAAGCACCTGGCTCCTGCCTTCGGATCAGCGCGGTGCGCCAGCCGCAGCAGCCATTGGGGGGTGAAAAAAGGAAGACCTTTTCTCTGTCTCTCTCTCTCATTGTCCACTCTGCCTGTCAAAAAAAAAAAAAAATAGCTTTCCTCTCCACAAGCTGTGCTATAATCTCTCCCTTACAACTAACTCCCATCCTGTGTGCACCTTCCCAGGTAGTGACTTGCAGCACTCCATTCCACGGCGCCCAGTGCTCCCTCGAGGACACACCACACCTTACCCAGCACTCCCTGTTACAGAGGCACGTGGGGTGCTGCCGGCGTGAACAGAAGCTCAGCCAGAACTCCCTCTGGCGCCCTGTCCAGGCGCCGGCCACCCTGGTGGGTTCCGCGTCACTTACGGCAAACTCCTCGGGGGTCACTTTCAGCACGTCGAAGACAACGGCGTCGTAGCTCTTGCTGGCATAGTCGCAGCTCTGGCCCTCCAGGGAGTCTGAGCTGCTGCCCTGTGGAGCAGGGAGATGAGCCCGTCTGAGTCGTCTGGCCTGGAGCCCCCGTCCCCCCCGCCTCTGAATTCAGGATGCCAGAGTGGCAGACCTGGACAGTACAAGAAACTTCTAGAGTTTGGTGCTCTGCTCTATTCCAGGCACTGTTATGGTTCCCACTGTACAGATAGGCAATGCTACTTCTCGACAGTATTACAGTTACCAAACTGAAAGCCAGAATGTGACAGATTCGCATTTTCTCTTTGTCTGACCCCAAAACACACCTTCCGACACTACACGCTAACTGCTGCTAACGGCCAGCGGGAGCAGGGGTGCGGGGTGCAGTGAAGGGCGGATGGGGGGAGATAAAGCTCCCAGCCAGGCGTCCTGAAGGAACAGGCCCTGACATCACAGCAGGCCTGCGCAGAGAATCTGTTCCGTTTGCTCTTTCACGCATTACCTTGGTTCACCTTTCTCTCCCTACTTGAAGTCACTGCTGGAAACTTGCTAGGCAAAACGTAAAACTGGCTCTCGAGGCTCATTTCACATATGGGCTCCTGAGAATTCACAGCCCGCGGCTGATGAGCTGAGACGTAACCGCCTGGCTTTGGAGGCTGCCGCGAGAGTTCTATTTAGTAACGTCGCGACGGTAGGAACACTCAGCCCTGCGTGTGAAGAAAGGGGCTCTCATAAAGAAGGCCAGCTAGAACTCCCCCAGACACAGCTGACCTCATGAAACTCAACACTGTGTGGATCCCAGAATGCTGGACACACCTTCCCTTTCATTTTGTGTAATTTCATCAAACCCCACTTTGGGGAATCGGTTGAGCTTACCACCCAAAAATTGTGCCCGGTTCATAAATGGTTTTATTCGTTTCAACTCACGAAGAAGGATTTTGTGGTTTCCATGAACCTCAACGGCTTGGACTGCGATTTAGAGAATATGCTTCTATTAATTCCTTTTTAGTTCACTCTTTCCAAAACGGCTATATCTGGAAAAACCTTGCAATCTTACTGGAAACTGGTGTGTTTTTAGGCCAGTGAGGGAAACCAACAGTCAACAACCAAAAAGACGAGGCTGCAGAGTCGGGTAGGAACGTAAACCTGCGTCACTCAAAGGCGCCACGCAGGGGTCAGCCCTAAGATGATGGCAGCAAACGGCACGGATGGCGAAGCGACTTCCGAAGTCACATCTGACCTCAGCAAATAACCCGCCCATCTGTAAAATGGGGGCACCAAAACCTGCTCGCTACACGGTGATGTGAAACGAAGCTTGGCACCTCCCTCCCTGGGAGATGCTGGGTCAAGGAGCTGGGTGGGCTCAGGCACAACCACAGAGGAGACCCTGTGTCAGGGTCAAGGCCTGTATTGTGACAAACACCACCCCTGGCTGATTCCAGGATGGGCTGAGCAGCGGTAACCGAGGCATCCGCCCGTCCACACCCACCCCCCGGGAGGTGGGCTCATGGGACGAACACCACTGATTTTCCGCAAGGCAGTGGAAGGCTGGGTAGGAGCATGAGAGCCACAGAGGCCTGGCTCCGAAGCCCCACCCACCTGGCTGGCTGTGGGACTCAAAGCCAGTCATTCCCGGCCCTGAGCTTTCCTTTTCTCATCTAGAAACAGGTGAACAGGGGTACGGGCCCAGCAGGGTCACCAGGAGGAATGAAGCCAGAGGATGCCTGAGGAACACGTGTGAGGAGCACCAGGGACCCAGCGAGCACCCAGTTTTGGCTGTGGAGGGGTACGGACGCACCATGCAGCCACCAAAATGCACTGAGTACACACACACACACACACACACACACGCTCACTCTAGTATTCCTGAGCACTTACCACGTGCCGGCTATACATGATGTACACACAGCTTGTATGTGTGTGTGCACACAGATGAGGATACTTCTAGAGGTGGGGGGGGGATAGAATTAAAGGCTAAGCTTATTTTGGTACAAAAAGTTTCGGATACCCATGATAGGAGGGAGAAACATCTATGGAGGAGCAGGCTTTGGCCTAGCAGTTAAGACGCCGGTTAGGATGCCTGCGTCGCACACTGGAGTGCTGGGTTCAAGCCCAGCTCCTGACGCAGACCCTGGGAGACAGCAGGTGGTGGCTGCAGCAGCTGGGCTCCTGCCACTCACGCGGGAGGTCTGCATGAGTTCTCTCCTGGCTTCAGCCCCTCAGCTGTTGCAGGCACTTAGGAAATGAACCAGCAGATGGGACAATGCTCTCACTCTCTCACTCGCTGGCTCTTGTGTTCTGTCTCTGCCTCTCAAATACATTTTTTTTAAAAAAGTTCATGGAGAATGCATATTATGCAAAAACTACGCACACATTTGTAAAGATTTATTTTACTTTATTTATTTGAAAGACAAGAGTTACAGAGAGTGGTAGAAACACAGAGAGAGAGAGGTCTTCCATCTGCTGGTTCACTCCCCAAATGACCGCAACTGAGTCGATCCAAAGCCAGGACCCAGGAGCTTCTCCCAGTCTCCCATGCGGGTGCAGGCCCCAAGGACTTGGGCCATCTTCTACGGCTTTCCCAGGTGCATTAGCAGGAGCTGGATAGGAAGTGGAACAGCTGGGACTTGAACCAGCGCCCATATGGGATGCTGGTGCAGTAGGCCAGGGCTTTAACCTGCTGCACCATAGTGCTGGCCCCTATGCATGCATTTTGAAAAAATTTTTGTAGCAAAATAAACTTAGCTTTTAACTGTATGTTCCTTGAACTTTCTGAAGTACCCTCATGTGTATCTACACATAGATACACATTCAGAGAAGGAAGAGGTAAAAACCACTCCCTGGGATTCCAGGCTTTCTAACTCCTGTGTACCCCACTCCAAAACGGAGCCTGCCACCCACCTACACCCCCCCCACACACACACGCACACACACACACTCACACACACATTCACACCCACACCCACACACACAACCACATACTCACACACACACACACACACACGGGCTCTGCTGCATCAGAGCTGCCTCAACACATTCCTAGGGACGAGGAGGAGGAGAAAGCAGAGGGGAGGGGGTATGGACGGTGCTGCTGGGAGTCCAGCCACTGTAACCCTCTGTGGGACCCCCTGGGGGATGCAGTAAAAAGTTACCCACAAGTCTGACTTCAGGACACAAGATCAAAACCGAGCATGTCTCTGGAAAGCTGTGTAAGGAATGAACTTGTTCCTGTGACCTTCTGGTGGCTATACCTAGGATCATTTTCAAAAGCCCTGCTTGATGGCGAGGGCCGGTGACCTCTGAAACTGGAGGGTGCCTCACCTGGGCGCCAGAGGAGCCAGGCCTGGCCCATTTGCCATGGCAGCACCTGGGGCCACGACAGCACCCACTGCCCCTGTTGCATTACAGGGCTCAGAAGGCAAACTCCACAAGGGGCCTGAGCCCAGGCCACACCCAGACCCCCAGCCCTCCCAGCCGTTTCCTGCTGCGCACGGGAAGTAAGAACACAGGGCCAGCGGCAGTGGCTCCGGTCTGACTTCACCCTGGGATGTGTGACTCATTAATCAGCAGCAGTGGCTTTTCCTGGGAAACAGCCAGCCCCGCTGCCACCAAAATGGACTGTGGTGCTGGCGATGACGGCCCTGGATGGGGACCTGCCTCCCTTTGAGAACAGCTTCAGAAAAACACACCACTCCTCAGAGCTGCCTGCCTCCCAGGGGCCCCGGGGGCATTCTGGAGGCCTGCGGCCCTGCAGCTGCCCATGGTGAGGCTGGGGCCTGGTTAGCAGGGAGGGAGCCCCTACCCGCAGTCCCGATGCCCGCAGCCTGGGTACCTGTGGAGTGGCAGAGGTGACCAACACGCTAGCCATCAGACCATTCCTCTTGTACATAGTCTCCGGGCCGCAGGGAGCGTCAGGGCAGCCTCTGCCGGTGACATAACCCGTCTGGAGCCGTCCTGCAAGGCAAAGGCGTCCGTGAGAATCAGGCTCCCTGGGAGCAGAGGACACCTCGAAGACAGGTGGTCCCCAGGTGGCTTCTGGCTAACACTGCCCACAGGCAGTGTCTTGGGCTGGTGCAGAGTTTGAGTATTTTTCAAGTTAATTACCAACATTTAAAAACTGGAAGATTTCACAAAGAACTCTGGATTCCTGCCGCTTCTGTCAATACTGGGCCCAGACTCTTGTGTGACGGCTGTCAGCTGGGCTCAGCGGCGGCGCCCCTTGTACAAGAGTGTGTGCCCTGGGTCCCCACCGGGCCTGCGCAACCTCAGCACCTGCCAGACTCTGTGGGCCTGGAGTCTGTGGTCTTTGTTTTTTTTATTATTATTATTTTACTTTTTTAAACTTTTATTTAATAAATATAAATTTCGAAAGTACAACTTTTGGATTATAGCAGCTTTTCCCCTCATAACCTCCCTCCCACCCGCAACCATCCCATCTCCCACTCCCTCTCCCATCCTATTCTTCATCAAGATTCATTTTCAATTATCTTTATATACAGAAGATCAACTTGGTATATACTAAGTAAAGATTTCAACAGTTTGTACTCACACAGACACACAAAGTATAAAGTACTGTTGAGTAGTAGTTTTACTGTTAATTCACATAGTACAACACATTAGGGGCAGAGATCCTACATGGGGAGCAGGTGCACAGTGACTCCCATTGTTGATTTAACAATTGACACTGTTATTTATGACGTCAGTAATCACCCGAGGCTCTGACGAGCTGCCCAGGCTATGGAAGCCTCTTGAGTTCACAAACTCCGAAGCGGTCTTTGTTCTAAGGAAAAGGCACGGTGAGGAAGACAAATGACTCTGCCTCGTTCCACCGGGCACCGTAACATTCAACGCGACCTGGCTAACAGCACAGTACGGCCATGTGCCGAGCATACGACAGCCACGCGCATGATCCTGAGACGGGGCCTGGTGTCGCCCCAGAGTGCAAGTGCGGGACTGAGACCTGGACAGGAGGTAACTCGCGCCCTGGTGCCCGTCGTGCCCTGCCACTGCTGCGGCACCACTCAGCACCTGCTCAAACGTCACTTCTGGTGGTCAGTGTGCCCAGCTGACCCACACCCACATGCACACCTCCAGCCTGCTTCCATCACATCGCAGGACAGACAATGGCAGCAGCCAGGAGCTTCCCGGGGAGGCCCAGGTGGGGAGCAGGGAGGGAGGAGAAGACAGACCCCAGTCGGAAGCCAACTGTGACTGCCCAAGGGGTGAGGGGTCCCCTGGGCGAAGGCTGCAGCAGTGACGTCAGACAGAAGGAGCTGGACTGAGAGACAGAAAGGACAGATTCCACGGAGATGAGCTGGGGGGCCTGCTTGAGGGGGAGGGCCTGCCGGGGGGGGGAGACGGCCTCTGGAGCGATGCACGCTCTTCCCTAGGGAGGGAACAGATTGCAGGAAGCAGCGATGCGTTGACTTGGGTCATGTGACATCCATGGTGTCTGTGAGAAGCCAACACTGAAGATGCAGGATCGAGCCCCACGGTCACCGGGAGGGAGGTGTCGGCCTTAGCAGGCTCCTGGGTCCAGGGCCCCGCCACGCAGCAAGCAGATGGAGCCCAGCTCCAGAAGTTGGGTGGAGACCTCCCTGGCTCTTCCTCCCCTCACCCCACAGCTGCCATGCTCAGCCCGTCCTCGCGCCATCTGCCCAGAAACAACATTTGGGGTCCCCTGGGGGGTCTGCATGTGGACATGAGCCGACATCGCTGAGTTACAGGTTAACTCAGGTGTGACGACAGGGTGGCGGTCACACAAGACAAGGCCCTTGTCCTTCAGTGGGCGTGCGGCAGGGTCTAGAGGCGGGCCAAGTCTGCAGCTGGCTCCCCAGTGCGCCAGCAAAGCATGCGTGAGATGAAGCCAGTATGCAAAGTGCTAGTAACTGCCCGGTCCAGACAGCAGGGCACACGGCAGCTCCTACACTCCCTCTGCAGCTCTTCTGAATGCTTGACGATTTTCATAGTAAGAGGAGGGAAAAGAATGGTCAAGTACTTGGAGCTGGACTGGCCAAAGTCCTTCTCCATGGAGGACGCCCGCTTCTCCATCACTTTGGTCCTAGAAGTCACATTCTCATTCCCTTGGGATCCCCGCCCCGCCCCGCCCCATCCACGGCCAGCCCAGGTTTAAAGCAGCCGTATGAAAGACTCTAACGGACATGGTACAAAAGAAGATACAGCGATGGCCAACAAGGGGGACGCAAACCAAACCCAAGCCTGCTCAGCCCGGCCCCGACACAGGCCTTGCTCCCCACTCAGCCGACAACCGCAAATCCTCATGTCCCACAGTGAGATGCCACGTCCCACCCACCAGGACGGCCCCAACTTTAAACAAACACAACAGGCCAGGCCACGTGCTGGCAAGCGTGCAGGGGAACGGAGCCCTCGCCCACTGCTGGTGGGAAAGCCAAGAGCATAACTGCTTCGGAAAACAGTCCGGCGGTTTCTTAAAAAGTGAAACATAAGCTTACCACATAACCCAGCAAGCCTACTACGAGGTATCTACAAAGGAAAAAAAAAAATAGAAAGCATCTGTCCGCACGAAGACACGCGCATGCTGATAGCAGCGTCAGTCCTAGCCGGACCACTGGAAACAAGCCAAAAGTCCATCGAGAATGGGCGCATCCACAGGACCAGGTCCCGCTCAGCAGCAGACAGAAACCTGAGAGGCAGGCTGCGTGAGAGACGTCAGATGCGGAAGAAGGCACTGTGTGGTTCCATTTTTAGAAATGTCCAGAATAGGCAACTTTACTGCGGTGGGCTGGGGGGGGGGGGGGAGCAGGACTGACTGCACGTGGACGAAGCGGGGTTTTTAATGTGATGGAAACGTTCTAAAACCGGAGCATGCCGACAGCGACACGGCCCCAAAAACGCAGAGTACACCCTAGGGCTTGCACGGTTTGAACCCAAAGCTGCACCCTCAGCTGTGCTTCGTGACAATGACCTGAGCGCCCTGGCCAGCGCCCTGGCCAGCGCCCTCTGGAATGACCAAGTAAGTATTACAGTACTGAGCATATGGTAGAGGCGTGGGAGGACGCTCAGGGGCTGTGCGTAGCAGACTCGGGAGAAAGGGCAGGGGATCGGCGCAGTGGTCAAGGTCCCCCGGGACACCCGCATCCCGTACCAGAGGGCCTGGGTTTCACTCCCAGGCTCCCGATTCCAGCTTCCTGCTGACGTGCACCCTGGGAGGCAGCAGTGACGGTTCAAGTAGTTGGGTCCCTTCCACCCACGTGGGGGACCTGGCTGGAGTTCCTGGCTGCTGGCTTTGGCCTGGTCCAGCTCCAGCTGGTATGGGCATTTGGGGACTACACCACTGTCTGCCTTTCAAGTAAAATGAAAATAAATTAATCAACTGAGAAGAAATCCAACTTGAGGAAGCTCCAGTATGGAAGAGACAGGCCAGAGAGGAGAGGCCCCAGTGCTGGAGCAAACGAAAGGCTTCTGGGAACTGGGGAGGCTGGGACCCTCCAACCAAAACCCATGAAAAACCCAGAGGCTTCAAAACGGGACGCTGAATACTGAGACCAGAAGCAAACCCAACTCAGGAGCTGAAGGGCAGCGTGAGGCCGGGCACGCTGCTGGGGCTCTCAGAGCAGGACAACAGCCAGGGGCCCGGCCCCACTCAGCCACACTCTTCCGAGCCACAACAGCACAGCCTGGTGGCACAGGGCCTGTACAGGCAGCAGAGACACACGACAGGCCTGACAGACTGTCCACAGGAGGCCATGTGACGGCTGGCTGGACCCTGGCTCCAGAGGTCCAGGCAGAGGTGGGCTTTGCTCCTCTCAGGGTATGCCTGGGACTCTGTGGGTCTCCCCAAGGGAAGCAAAGATGTGAAGCCCAATTTCCCAGCCTTGCCCAAACCGAAAGTCTTGCTCTGCCCACCCACGTGGTGACTGTATTCTCCCACCACGGCAGCCAAAGTTCGGGGGTCCTCTTCTGCACCTGGCCACCAGCTCACTCCTTGCCTCCTGCCAGAAGGAAGCCCTCAACCCCAGCTCCCCAGCCCCATCCGGTGACCCGCACAGGGGCTCTCTCTCCACACACCAAGGCCAGCGAGGGCTGATGCAGGCACGGCACTGGCAAAGACACAGCTCGTGTCCTCTTCACCGCGGCCCCATGGGGTAGAGAGCGTGTGGATTTCTAGAAACTGGCTCAGGAAGGCAATGGGATTCACTGTTGGAGAGTGGCAAACCCCAGTCAGTCAACACCAGGGCCTAGGCTCCGGTGTCTCTGGTGCTGCCCGCTGCAAGAGCCCAGGCATGCACTGGGTGAGGACGCCCTGTCCAGCCAGGCCAGGTTGTCAGTCACCACAAGTGTGAACCTTGTTCTCCAAGCTTCCACTCATGGACCCCTATCCTTTGTTCCTGAAACAATTCAAATCACATCTAAATGTCCACGAAAGAACAGGCTCCCGCTCTGTGGAACCAGGAGCTCCCACTGCTGGAAGGGGGCTCCCAGGCTCCCTCCATCCAAGGCTCCCCCTGCAGGAGGCTGCACCTGCAGGCACCCTCACACGGCCCCCGCCCACCTAGAGACCAGCTCGGCAGCTGCAGTGACCCACGATGCTTCCTACAGACAGCCGGGCTGGGAAGACGGGGCGCTTGTCTCCGCTCTGACTCCTGCCTGTCTCACCACTCACAGAAACGGCATAATTACCAGCAGCAGCTCTCAGACAAATGATACTGCACACGCTGCGAAGTAACAGCGCCAGGCAGAACGGACAGTCTGCCCGGCGGAGCCCAGCCCATCTGACCCCAGTCCCCGAGACTGGGCTGAGCCCCAGCTCCTCTTCCAGGAGGTCGGTCTGGCCCTGGCTACCCGACCCTGAAGGCCGCCTGCACCAGGGTGGACCCCAGTCTCTGCTGGACCACCAAACTGAGGTGCTCAGGAGCTGAGACTGGCCGCGTGAGAGGAGCGTCCTCAGAGGCCTCAAGCAAGGCCGGCTCCTG